TATTAATAGTTTGTTCCTTTTTATTGCTCCAGAGTAAGTATTCCATTTTAAAACATACTGTGGCTTGGTTATCCATCCCTCCACTGAGGGACATTTGGGTTATTTCCAGTTTTGGGTGATTACAAATAATACCACTTTAAATATCATTGTGAAGTCTTTAATGTCCAACATATATTGAAAAATTAGATTCTCAAGAAAAGTATGTGTTTCCTCAGTATCTATCTTCTTGATTTCTAAAGCAGACCCCCTAAAAATTTTAGAGATGGACATTGGTTCTGAATAAGTTAACTTAAAAATGTAACTTAAAGTTTGTTTCTCCAATTTATATACAAGTTCGTGAAATGCTTATAATTAAAGTTTATAGGAAAGCGCATGTTAAACATAATGATATGCCACATCAACTTTTCTCGATATCATAAAGAACCCTCAAAATCAGTATGTGTATTATAAAACTCACTCTGATATACTGGGGAAATTACTTATTTGGCATAGGTGCAATCATTTCAAATACAGCTTTATTTTGTGTCACCACTTCCCAGGGCTATGATTTCTGTGAGTTAAGTATTTTCCCTGTTAGGATTGTGATAATTAGTACAAGAAATATGGACTAATGTATACAGCAGGTTCTGAAGATTCAGTTTTAAGAAAAGACATTTTTTAAAACCTTGCCTTCAGATATGATTAAACGTAGAAAACGAGTGTATAAATGTAGAAAACGAGTGAAATGTTGTTACATGTAGAAAACGAGTGAAATAATTTAAAATGCCTTTAAGATTACGAAAGAATCCTAAAAATGATTGTTCTTTTCCCCTTAACAGCTTGGTCATCTATTTCTCTGATAACCACTCATTTTTATCTAAAAGCTGTGAGTGCTCCTCCGGACACACACCATGCCAGGCCTTTGTTGACTCAGGGTCTACCCTTAAGCATTTTGCAATTTAGGACAGAAATAGATGACAGACATAGATGAATATATAGAAAACACAGTGTCAGTGAAGGAACATATACTGAATACATATAATCGAACAAATTAAAGTTGAAAGAAAATTGTTTTGTCGGGCAATGTCACAAGAGGTTCATATATAGACAATGAAAGTGGATATTTCTACTCTGCCTTTTTTTCTGGAAAAGTTGATGGACTAAGTGAGTTATCAAGAATTACTCAATTGAAGGAAAGAAAAGTACATGGCAAAGTGTGGTGTGTGAGTTATAAGTTACATAAATAAAGCCAGTGGGATATGCAGGTCACCCCTCTGATTATGTGCCTCTCACACCAAGAATATAAAATGCTATAGAGGAGTGTATCTGTGAGTTTGTTTTGAAATGTAAAAATCACTAAGAACAGCGTTGGAAAATATATTATTGGTTTGTTTCAAGTGTGCACTTGCAGAAAATGGATGTATTTCTCACTGAAGGCTCAGATAACTAACACACAGTGAATTTAACAAGAGGTGCAGGTTGGGGAGAGAATGGCCGTGCATCTTTGAGAGGATGTGTCCTTGTGCATTACCAGAGAATGAACTCCAGAATGACAGCCACAGTGCAGAGCGCTTTGTGAGTGTAGGATGATAATATAAAGGGAATGAAGTAATGGGTGTAAATGGTGAGATGGGTTACTTGGCAGCTTTAACTTGGAACCAGCCAAATACAATTTGCTCTGTTTTGTTCCTCTGATACCCTAAACATTTCTCAGAAGCCAAATCAATGACTGAAAATTTTCTTGTGTCCCGTAAGTTAGGTATTTTCTCCACTGCCAAAAGTAAACACACGTGATAGCTAAGGAAAATTGTGAAGCTAATTCTTTTACCACTTATTTAGTGGTGAGTAAAACTGAACGTACTTTTTGAATTAGTCTGTGCTGAGGGAAAAAAAAATCCCACATATAATTACAAAGAGTGTAATTATTTACGTGATTTGAGATTTCTCTTTTGGTATTTTATATACAACTTCTTTATCTTATTTGTACCTTCTTTTTTTATTTTATTTTATTTTATTTTATTTTTTTTTTAAAGATTTTATTAGAGAGAGAGAGAGGGAGAGAGAGCACAAGCAGGGGGAGCAGCAGAGGGAGAGGGAGAAGCAGGCTTCCCACTGAGCGATGAGCCCGATGCGGGGCTCTATCCCAGGCCCCCGGGATCATGACCTGAGCCGAAGGCAGACGCTTAACGACTGAGCCACCCAGGTGCCCCTGTACCTTCTTTTTTTATTAAAACTTTATTTTTTAGGGAAGTTTAGAGTAATTAGAGACTTTAGTTTTTTTAGATTCACAGCAAAATTGAAGAAAAGGTACAGCGGTTTCCCTTATACTAACCCCCCCACACACATGCCTCCCCTTTCCATCATCAACATCTTCCACCGTCGTGGTACATTTGTTAAAACAGCTGGACCTATATTGACACATAATCACCCAAAGTCCATACTGTACATTCCTGTTTTTTAGGATAGAAACTGCTTTTATTTTTCCCTTCAGAACTGGATAAGATTAATTTGATACAAAAAGTTATGTAATGCTAAATAAAATGTACTGGAACGAGGGGCACCTGTGTGGCGCTGCTGGTTAAACGTCAGGTTAAGCATCTGACTCCCAGTTTCGGCTCAGGTCATGATCTCAGCATTGTGAGATCAGCCTGGCATCATGCTCCCTGCTGAGCATGGAATCTGCTAAAGTTTCTCTCTCCCTCTCGCTCTGCCCCTCCCCCGCCATGCATTCTCTCTGTGTAAAGAAAATAAATCTTTAAAAAAATTTTTTTAAATGCACTGGAATGATATTCTTTATAAACTGGCTTATCTAAGTAGAATATTATACTGATATAAGAAGTTTGCATTAAAAACACAAAGAAGAAAAATATCTGACTCTTTCGAACTTATTAAAATGGTGATAAATGGGATATTTAAGCACTTTTTTGGATTTAGATAGAAATGCCACTTGAAGGCTTTTTTCACTTCTGGGTATAATCCACTAAAATCCACTTAAGCTAATAATCCATGGTTAGTAAATTTTAGCAGTAAGCCTTTATTATTCCATAAAATCTTAGGTGAGCTTTACTTTTCATTTTCTTCAGAAATATTCCATATGTTGATTTGCAGCAAAGCAAAAGAGTAGGGGGGGAATTACCCAGATGAAATTCTTTATCATTAAAGAGAAAATATAGAATCAGCCATAACAGATGTGATTTCAAAAACTGTCCATTCTTGTCTCAATATGCAGTGCTTCTTTGGAAACTCTTAAATCTTTGGAAGTAATCCTCAACAGGCAGATGGTAGATTTCTAACATTGATGTTGTTGAACATTTGGTTAATAAGTCTTTTTCTTTTATACAAGATATGCTTGACTTGCATAGGAAAAAAGGATTCATTATGAATGAAAGTATATTAGGATACAGAAAGGATGTATATTCTTTCATTTGCTGATAGAACCCATTCTGGTCCTTGAGTTAGGTAAATCAATGTCCATGGTCATGTTTGAATTCCCTACTCTAACACCCATCAAGATCACCATTTTGCAGTCCATGTACTCCCCAGCCTTCATTTGGAATATACATACCTCTTCTAAGGTTACACCATTGGAGGTGTAACCCTTAGGTTATTAATCAGGTCATTAGCTTGGGCTCTGGGCTGTGGATTTTTTTGTCACTGTGTCACTGTGCTTTCATCTCACTATAAACTGTCATTTGAATTTGGAGACTGTTCAAACAAACAAGAATTCAAAAATCAGTGTTGAAAAAGTCTTCAAAGACAGGTAAAAATATGCTTTTGAAAAGTCTTAGGAGGGATTTTTCTTTAATCTTTGAACTTTCTAAGGATTCAAATACATAGTTGAAACTTGAAAACTTTTACGTTTTTCACAATGTCTTCTTGTAATGGGCACAAAGAAAAGCCCTTAAAATGTTTCTCGTTCTAACTAGTGAGAAGAAATCTAAATGAGAAAGTTATTTCGGGCTTGATGGCCCATGTACCAAAGGATTCTTGCTCCCTCTACAGAAGGTACTTCAAAATTGCAGTCACAGGAATTAAAAAAAAAAAAAAAAAAAAGCTTTTAATGAAACAGAGGTTTCACCATGACTAGCAAAAGCTTTGGGTTTATATACACCAACAATGTCTTGCAGATTGGTTGGGTGCCAGAAAGTTAGGGTAGGTGCGTGTGTTTCTACTTTGATATTTTTCACTTGCATAAGCAAGGATTAGATTAAACTCCATTAGCGACGACTGAAAAACAGTGGGTTTTGTTTCCTTGTTTGGCTTTGTTTTATTTTGTTTATTTACTCTCATGGACAAGTAAAATGCTTGAAAATTTCTTTTGATATTAGGTAATTGCTGTACTCATTTTCATTCTTTTTTATTTAGCCAGGGAATTGAAGCCATGAAAATAATGTACTGTACCTCAAAGACTTAATAAGTTCTCTTATTATCTACTCCTAATTGTTCCAGTCATTTTTAGTTCTTAGCAGTTGTTGGGGAAAAAAAAAATTAACAATTTGAATTGTACTTGAACTCCACAGGAGAAGGAATTCATTTAATTGAACTGGATTTTTTTCAGCTATAGGTAATATTCACAAGAGACAAAGTTTGACCTTTCTATAAAGACTTCATTAATATATAAAACTACCATGCGTATATATTTATTATCTTAATTTACCCATTTAAGTTAAATTGGAACAAAATGTTAATATTTTAATAGCTTTGGTTTGAATAATTTTATACATTCTCTTTTGACTTCAAGACCTTTTTATTTAATTTGACAGGATACTAGTTTTTCTTACTGTGCCATTTAAAATTATAAGTATGAAGATTCTTTTATTTCATCAATAGACTCTTACAAAAGATTGAAAATCCTTTTCATTTGTATTTAGTATAAGAACAGCCCTTCTGATGTTACCCTGTAATTGAAAAATGAACACAAATGACAAAGTAGCTCCTTTGATTTGAATATATCACATCCGACTTGCCTGTTCTGAATTGTTATGCTGAAACTAGACTGGATTTTCTTCCCTCTCCGGTAGGTGTACTGGCCCATTAGCAAATTCCCTTTCAGAGAAAACCAGAGACCCAGTAGAGGAAGATGATGATGAATACAAGATTCCTTCATCCCATCCTGTTTCCCTGAATTCACAACCATCTCATTGCCATAATGTAAAACCTCCTCTTAGGTAAGCATAAAGGCCGCTTTTTATCACCTCACATCTGCATAAGCATTATCATTGTGGTTTTTTTTAAACAACTGAATTACATGTATTTAATTAAAAATCCTTGATTTCTTGGTCAAAACAACCTCTTCCTATATATTATTTTCTGCGTTATTTTCAGAGAAAACTAAAAGATGGAGATTCCTCATTAATCAGGAAGTCATTTAACTAAATTAATCGACTAGTAAATCTAATGGAACATTTTTGTTGCCCCTCCCCCCACAAAACAAATTATAGTCTAATAATGCTGTACATTACGTATTGTGGTGATTAATTCATGAATTTTTAATACGCTATTTTCAGTGCATATGATCAGTTCTAAGCACATATCTCATGAAGAAAAATCAGTGCTCAGAAACTAAAGTATTACTCAACCTTCCTTAGAATTAATTTTTTTTTATGATGTAAAGACTAGTATAATATATATTCATTTCCCTTCTTGATATGCTACCTACTTCTATCCATCATATCTTGAAGAAGTAAAAACAACAACAACAACAACAAAAAAAAAACAACCAACTAAAAGTATTTCCCTTAGTTGTATTTTTTTTAATCAGGAACTATTTTACTTTTCCTTAGCTCGAATAAGATTGTGAGGGATAGTGTCTTTTTTTTTTTCTTCTTGTCAGTTGTTTGTTCTCCTTATGATGGAGACTCCCGTGGTCTTTGAAGTGGCAGCTCCACTGAGGTGTATAACAGTTACTAAAAACAGATGGTGGGTATTGAAATATTAGTATGCTTTTAAAAGTAGAAAGATGATTCTGCACTTACATAATTGACTTAATAATCTGTAATCTCAAGTATTTTTCTTTTTTCTCATTTGACTTACACGAGGTACTCAGTAAGTCAGATCTTGGTTTTGAAACTTACTTTGTGAGCTCATTGCCTTTGTGAGACGGAATCCCTGGAGCGATGCTCGGCACACAGCATAGGGCTCAACTCCGGCTGGTGGCCCAGCCTTCCTGCCTTCCAGCAGCTCTTGGTTGAGGATAGAACTGCCGAACACTTCTCAGCCATCTCTGTCATCTTTCCTTCGTGTGCCATTTCCTTTTCAAGGTCAAGTCAATCAGTGGAAAGCATTTTATGAGTGGAGTGTTTCCTTCTTTTCAGTTGGAAAATCTAAAAAATCTTTTAGTGCCTTTGAGTATCACATGGAGTTGAAAATGCAATACTTGGGAAAAAGGAGCAAATCTTCATTTTAACCAGAGAGCTGTCTACATGAGTGATCCTGGTTAGAATTATCAACACTCTGCAGAATTCTTAACCAGGATTACTAACATTCTGCAGTCTAGGGCTTCATATTTCAAAACAAGAACCAAAGCATTTCATGCTAATCAGTGGTGTTTAAGGCATTTGTTGATAAAACAGTATCATTGAGAAGATAAATAACTGAGAGGCAATTTCTTATATCAGAAGAACCAAATATTTACTACTCTTATTAGAAGAAACTTACTCCTTCACATCAAATACAAATTGTCACAATTTTTAGTCCTTTTGACTCTGACAAATGTAATTTTTAAAGACTGAAATAAGATGAGCTTTTTTGGTTTCCTTGGGATTTCATTTTTTTCATTGCTGAAGAACTGAGAGGTATAATTTAAATGCTTTAAATTTTAATTGTCAGATCATATTGGATGAGATTTTTGGTGACAGGCCTCCCAAATCCTGAAAATAAATTTGAATTATGACTACCATTACCATCTTTCTATTGTTATAGAGAAGTAATAAATGTTGATAATCCCTAACCTTAATTGGAGTGAATTTTTTTATCTAATTTGTTCTCGAAAGCCAATGGATGAAGTAACTTCTTATGTCCTCCACAGAACACTCTTTAAGCTCTTTAAGCTTAAACACTTCCTTTTCCCCCTTTGGAACATCAGAAGAAATAAATTGTCAATATGTGGAAAAAGTTAAACAGTAGATGAATAATTCAATTCAGTTTCATAAAAATCCATCATTATTATGAAAATTCAATATATGATAACTATTTTAAAATGAACCATCTCTGGCCCCTGAAACAGACGTGGCCACCAGAGAGAATGGGAATGAATTTCAGATGAAACACTCTTGCTGTAACTATTTAAATATCCACTATCTCGTCCATTATGTATGTACTTTTACTTTGCCCAAGAATTCAGAGTAAATCAGAGAAAAGGAAAATACAAACTCTGTTTCCTATAGCTTTTTGTGAACAGAATAACTTGGTGAGCAGAGAGTTCATTGTTACACAGCCATATTCTAAAGACAAAAGATGCTCTGTACTTTCTCTTCCTGCTATATTCGCATGGCCCAGTTTTGTCCATTGTGGTCATGGTATGATTCCAATGTATTAATACAAACAACAAAAATACTTTTTTAGTAAGTTTTATCCTTTACAGACACCCAAATTAAAATATTTGTCATGTACCCAAGGCCTTTGCCAAAGTCAGTTGTCTACAGCCGCTAGAAGTGCTGGAGTTTTGGTCACAGCGGTAGTGAAATTCTCACACAGACCCTATGTCTTCGAATATGCCTATCAGAATTTTAATGAAATTTTGGAACATTTAATAATTCTTCTTCTTTGATGGGCTCTAGTTTATTATAAGGAAAGCTTAAATTACAGAAATAAATATATGTTAAATACCATCAACAAATAATAAAGTCATTGGGACTATTCCGTATTTATTTTTGCCTTACTACATGTTTTTTTCAAAAACTTGACAAGGTATTATTGAACTCGTCCAAATATGTTAATTTTCACAGATGTGTTTAGCTTATCAACAATTTTTGTGGCCTTTGTAACTCTTGATTTCACTTTAAAAAAATATTATTTGTCTCCATGAGATACTTACTTCTTCTTTGTAAAAATAGTTGAATAAAAATATCTAGATTATATTTCTTATACCTTTTCCAGAAAGGGAAATTATATTTGTTTTCAAGCTTTGGCGTATGAGCAGCGTTGCTAGTTCCTATCACCCTCCAAATTACTTTTAAATGGAAAGTAGTTTTTCTTACGGTTTTTGTCCTTTGATCTCTGCTTTAGGTCTTGTGATAATGGTCATTGTATATTAAATGGAACACATGGTACATCTTCAGAGATGAAGAAATCAAACATCCCTGAATTAGGCATATATTTAAAGGGTATGTATAAAACATATTCTCTTTGTGTTCTAGATCTTAATGGTCAGAATTTAAAGGCAAAATTCCATGCCATTGTTGTACTGAAAATACATTAAGATTTTGTGTTATCCTCTAGGAGATGTTTTTGATTCAGCCTCTGATCCAGTGCCATTACCACCTGCCAGGCCTCCAAGTCGGGACAATCCAAAGCATGGTTCTTCACTCAACAGGACGCCCTCTGATTATGATCTTCTCATCCCTCCATTAGGTTGAAACCTTTAAAACAATTTTCAAACAAGCCACCCTCCCTCTTCTTTCAGTTAATATCTATCTGAATTATCAGATTTCAGAGTTAAATGTAACACAGACTTACAAGGTTATGAATTTGTCTGAATTAGAATGGATTCTCTAGGTAGTGGTGGCTCTCACGTTCACGTAACCACTATTCCACGTATATGATTGAAGCAATGGTGTACAGGGCTGGCCATCAGTCTGCATTTTATCAAGTCATCTCTTCACGTACTAGATGTAGTCTAAAAAACCTGTGAGAGCTCATCCTTCCTTCCCCTGAGCCCTTGTGTTCTAGTAGATTTGAAGTGTTCATCTGAGATTTTCCTTAAGTACAGTTCTTAATGAATGTGTACTTACTCTTTCTTTCAGCATAACATGGCCCAGTTCCCCTTACTTAGCTAATTACATTATGGAAAATTATATATATAAGATGGATTCTGTCTTATAATCACTGCAATTACACATCCAAAGAATCTCAGTCTCTTTGGTTCGAATTTTAATGTAAAGTACACTAATGTGTGTGTATACATGCGTGAAGGTACACATGTATGTATGTTAAAGTTGGCTGGTGCTGGTATCTGTGTTTATTAATTCTAGAAGTTTCTCACCTATTTTTAGAGGAAGACAATTAGAATCTCCACACCTTAAGGCTTCACAATAACAAGTCACCATAACATAAAGTAATGTATGATGAAGGTCCATCTATAAGCTTCTCTGAATCAATTAGTAGGCACCGAGAACTGTGAAATGACCCTTTTGAGTTTTTCCCAGACACCGTCAACCCATGTATCTAGTTATATAATTGCGGTGTCTTTTGCTCCTGCTCTTTCTGTAGCTCAGTGCTTCATTCTCACTACATCAATTACAGGCACCTCCTAACTTCTTTACCTACAGTTTTTTTCTCCCTCCCACTTCTTCCTGTGTGCTGGTTTTTGACCTGTTACCCAAGTCTTCATGACCTAAATCAGCATTGTTCAGTAGAACTTTATGTGGTGATGTAAAGAATCTATATATTCACCTGCACGACTGTGGATGGAACTCAATTTTAATTTCAACTAAACAGCTGTATATGGATGGTGACTACCATATCAAACAATGCAGATCAGTGTTCCAGCCTGTCTTTGTAACTCAACCTTCCTCCAGCTCTTCATGTACATTTCATGCTTTATTTATACTATTTATACTATTCCCTCTGTCTAGAAGACACCATCCTTGCATTTAATGAATAAATGTTTTTGAGCCTCTGATATCCCAGGCCTTTCTGTTCTTGATAACACCTTGCTGAATACCGCTTTCTACTTTTCCTGTCCTCCTTCCAATGTGGAGCTCTCTCTGTGAGACCTGAGGGACTCTTACCTGTGAATCAGACCTCTTTGTGAGTTTTTCTTAGATCTTCTTGTGGAATCTAAGCTCCTTGCATCAGGGCCTTGTGATTTTGACCTTCACATTACCCATGTGCCTAGCATGGTACCTGACATTGAGGGGCTGAAAAAAGGATTTGGATGAATAAGATAATGAATGTAGCAGATAGCCTAAGGTTGGCAGGATAGCAAAGCTCTCTTTCCTCCCCTCTGCCACACCTCCAAATGTTTTAAGTTAGAAAAAGACTTATGATCATTAGAGAAAATACTTTGAATATGTTTTGTAAGGCAAGTTGGATGAATGATAAAGCTATTTTTTCAATATACCTTTGGCTTAAGTCAATAAATTTAAATACATGAATTTTTACTACGGGAATATGTAGGTGTTTGCTTATACCCTGTTTTATTCACAGAATATTTGAGATTACTTACAAAAATACATACATTGCAATTTTATTGTTTTAAAGAATTGAGATAAGGGAAAATATGAGTAGAATAGTAAGATGTGACAAGGGAAAAATAAGTAGACCTAAAAGCATACTGCAATATTCTGTAGTTACTAAAGCTGGGAAATATGCAAATATAAGTAATTTGGGGACCACAGAAGAGAGTTCTATATTTAACTGTTCCTCTTTAGCAATATCTGATAAATAGAAAAATACATTTCTCTACTATAGGTACATTTTCTGTATTTTGACAATATATGGAACATTAGTTTAAATGAATTAAAATCCAGAAGAATAAACTTTAAAAGATAATCTGTTCTGTGACATTAAATTTCTTGTGCACAGTGTGATTTTCTAATAAGAGGCTGTGAACTCTTGTTACATAAAAAGTTCTGTTTTGATGGTACGACCTACAATAATTTTTAGTTCAAACTTCGTGTCTTAATATTATAAAGGTTACAGGTAGATAATAAGTTCTTTCATAACCTGCAGTGCTGCTTTTTACCAGAAAGGCCTGGGAGTTTGAAAAGTTGGCACATGTACATGTGTGTTTGTATGCCTGTGTTTCTCTTCAGACACTCCCAGAAAATAAGCAGCTTTCGTTCTCAAAGTTGGTAAACTGTGAGATAAACCCTGCAGGTGAAGTTCTTTATGAGCAGCAAGAGAAAATCAATCATTACTTTGGTCTGATGCTGCTGTGTTTTCATTAATGAAGTTCTGCTGTTGATATTGACCTTTCTTTAAATGCAGGTGAAGATGCTTTTGACGCCCTCCCCCCATCCCTCCCACCTCCCCCACCTCCTGCAAGGCATAGCCTCACTGAACACTCCAAACCTCCCGGCTCCAACAGCCGGCCATCCTCAGGACAGGACCTTTTCCTTCTTCCTTCAGGTAAGAGGAAAAAGCCAAAGAAAACTTTTCACTTAAAGCAAGAACATTTCTAAGATCGTACTGTCAAGTAAACATCAGTAATTTACTGGTTTCTAACTCCATAGCAGAGAAATCCAGGTAGAAAAAAACAGCAGTTGGGTAGGTTTGCTTGTCAGTTGGTTGATTTAATGCAAAGGATTACAGGGACACCTGGGTGGCTCAGTCATTAAGCATCTGCCTTCGGCTCAGGTCATGATCTCAGGCTCCTGGGATTACAAAAATGTCAGAAGCGATAGGAATCCTAGGTGCTGTAGAGCTCATCCAATCCAGATAACATCCTTATGCCACAGAAGGCATCCCTGAGACCCAAAAGGGCTCCGTGATTGGGAGAGTAGTGATGAGGAGAGAATTTAGACTCTCCCGATTCTGAGTGTAGTATTTTTTTCCTAATAGTTTTAATTTTACTAGCTATGGCTTCAGGTCATAATTGTATTCAAAAAGATAATGTTTTGGTAAATTGCATTATTACAACATCAGTAGATAAGTTTTTCTGAAGTATCTGCATTTTATTGTTACCATTGTTATTCCTTAATATCTCAATATATCTATTCAAAGTGTTCTTTTTCAAGGAGAAATTACTACATAGGTTGTTTGTTTTGTTTTGCCTTTCAAGTGAGGAGTAGAAATAAAAACAAAGAGACTTACAATAAACCATCCGCTCCATTAGAACTGTCAGGAAAAAACAATCAGTTACATTGAATCTGCTGCTATTAACTGTTCCGATCTTTCACGTTGGTGAGACTGATCCGTGTTCGGAAACCTTTTTCTCAATTTGGTTTGGATGAACAGAGGGTAAAATTTTTCTTTTCTAATAATTACCTTACATTGTTATATTAGATAAATCTGAAAGTTTTTAATAAGTGCTCAGTTTGACCTTGGGCTGCCTCAGTGTCTTAGTGAAAACTTGGGAATCTTAGCCATTATCATTCACCTTTAGTATTCATTTTCCTAGGGTTTTTTTTCCACTCAGTTTGGTAACTTAGAAGATTTGAGGTGATTTATGGATGAGACACACAAATTATATACCTATAACTTGGAATAGGTAACTTCAGTTTCTAAAAGAGATTCATTTTTTAAGAAATAATTTTGAATTTAGTTTTTCATCAGTAAATAATTGATTGAGTTGTCCTCTGTATCACCTGCTGTGTGAGATGGCTCCCTCCCTTCCTGGGGTCCGTGAATTCACTGGATACTACCAATCAAAGAGCGAGGGTCATACCCCTTCTAATCCAAGCAGAAAGCATGGATAACTATTAGGCTCCTAGGAGTACCTGGGTGGCTCAGTTGGTTAAGTGTCTGCCTTCGGCTTGGGTCATGATCCTGGAGTCCGGGGATAGAGACCCGCATTGGGCTCCCTGCTCAGCGGGAAGCCTGCTTCTCCCTCTGACCCTCCCCTCTCATGCTCGCTCGCTCTCTCTCTCTCAAGTAAATAAATAGAATCTTAAAAAAAAAAAAACTATTAGGCTCCTATTTATTCTTAGATCATAAACACTAATAACATTTGCTATCTTTTTCATTTACTCAGTTATTCAAATCTTTGTTTTATACATGGACTTTAACATTAAAAAAAAAAAAGTCACTCTAAACTTTAGTTAACCTTTCCTAAGGCTAACTTCTGGATAGTCTCTGGTCAGATTCCTACAAGGTCCCTGTCACCTTTTATTTATGTGGTTTAATCCCCATTAAATAAAAGCCAATGTAGTGCCTTCTTTTAAAATTAAGTCAAGTTTTCCGGGAGTTGGAAGAGAACATTTTACACAAATACACAGCTTTACCTGTTTTTAATCAAAAGAGTTAATTGTAAAATGTTTAGTTATCATAATTTTATTTTTCATTGTGCTTTACTTTAAAAAACTTCATAAAAATGCCATCGATATTACTAAAAAAATTACAAAATGAAAAGGCACCTTTAATTAGATAAAACAAAAGTTGTAAAAACTCTTTTTATTTCATATATAGGTTTGCTTGTTTTGATGTTGCTTGGCTGCCAGGCAGCTCAGCAACAGTCACCCTTAACCTATGGTGTGAGGCTAGTATGGGGCCAGGGCGTATCGTTGGAACTCGTTGACCGTCTCTTGACCTTCTTTTGTACATGCAGGTAGTCTAATTCCATTCTTAATAGCGTTGACATCCCTTGATAATAAATACTTCTAAGAGAAGAAATAGTAATTTCTTTTCCTCTTCCAGCCTTTCATATCATTAACGTGACAAATTTCTAGTCTGTTGCCAGATCCTATATGAGATCCACTGAGACAGCTGCTTTTAATCAATTCTATTTATTTTTTATTAAAGCATAATTAACATACAATGTTATATTGTTTCAGGTTTACAACATTGATTCAGTAATTCTATACGCTCCTCAGTGTAGCCCACAAAAAGCGTAGTCACCTCTGTCACGAGACAGTGTTGTTATAGTATTATTGACTCTATTCCCTATGCTGTACTTTCAGTCTCTGTGATTTATTGTATACCTGGAAGTTGGTACTCTTAATCTCCTTAAACCACATGTTAGAGTTCCTCCTTTTCAAAAGAACTATTTTAATTCTTCTTACATAATAATAGAACATGAAGGTTTCTTTTGACTCATAAATAAGCATTTAAGTACCATTTTGCAAATGATTTAATACATTATGTATCTAAAGTAGAAGATTTGTGACCTTTCTGCACTCTTATTTCAGTGAACTTCATTAAAGAACCCTCTATAAATGATGAAAGTTTGACTCCCTAGTTGTAGACCCATAAAAGGGAACTAGGGGGGATCGCTGTCTTAAAGCAGACTGCATGAGCATTGTACAGTTGTTGCTGTCACTGTGGTTCCATCGGGAAGATTTTAGCCTAGTGTAATGGTAAACCTTTACTGGGCATGATTGAGATTTGTTTTCCTTAATGAAATCATTATCCCTAATTGAAGACACAGGATAGATGACTTAAAAAAAAAATTAGATTTCCTCATGGTGTTGTGTTAAACACCTGATCAAACCTCCCTCTTTATTCCCAGCGTTCAGTGCCCTGCACACTTGAGTCAGGTTCACCTTTCCAGCCTTATAAGCCCACTGACTTCTGTGAAGCAACAGTTTCCAAACTGCAAGGTCTTGGGTTTCTGCGGAGGAGCCTTAGGACTCCTGCAGGATGTGGAGGGAAGCAAAGCAGGGGTACAGCTCTGATGCTTCTTTGATCTGGTTTCTGTTTTCAGCCTTCATGCGAGATTTCTTTCAGCAAATAGTCATGCCCACTGCTGTGCATGAGCATCCATTCTGGATGGGCTAGTCCTATCTTAACAAAACCTGAAGAATTTTCAAAAAAAGCTTTATACTTTGCTAGCACATATGTGCTTTTGTTCAGATTACAAAAAGGCCCTTCTTTTGTGCTCGTGGGTTGAAAGCGGCCCCCATCCTTCCCCGTTGTGCCGGGACCAGTGCTCCAGGAACAAAGCCAAGGCTGTATTACGGTCTGCTCATTCCCATAACTGCATGTCTTTGTGCAGTGCACAAAATACACAACATATCTGGCAGCCCTCATTGAACCTTGCTTTCACTATTTTTCTGACCTGGAATCTCTTTTGAAGTCCTTATCCAATCCTAAAGTCACAATTCAACTTGAAAAGCCAAAAAAATTGACTTTATTACAGTTAAATGAAAGTTTTCCAGTTGCATCCAGAAGTGCAATGTCAAAGTAAAATAGAATATTTAGGTCATTAGCAAGAGTTATTGAAGAGGATTTAGGCGGTTAACTATGACCTTTATGAAACACTGTCACCATGTGGCTACCATGGGACCTCCTGCCATTTGAGGGTTGTACTCAGAGTTCAGACCCGAGGAGGCGAGAGGTGAGGTCCAGTGCTCAGCTGTCACGGAGACCAGTGTGGTGAGATGTTGAAGGACTGACAGGCTAGAGCAGTGGCGGGTTCTCAGATTGTAGTCTGCAAACCAGCTCCATCAGCGTCACCGGCGGACTTACATAAGAATACAGTTCTTAGGCTCCACAGACGACTTACCAAATCAGAAACTCTGGGAGTAGGGCCGGCCATCTATGTTTCCACAAGCCTTCTGGGGGACCGTGAGGCATGCTCAATTTTGAGGAAAATACTGAGTTGGGGTATTCTTGGCGGAAGGCAGCCAGGGTGCTCACGGGAATTTATACCTGACTGCAGAAACCACAGCGGATTAAAGGACCTGCAACGTTTAATGAGCGAGACGACCTTCGGTATATATACTGGGGTTGTTTCTAGTTACAGTATCTGTGAAAAAAGGGCTAGATTTCCTCAGTGTTTCCTCCGAAGGCAGACCAGTGAGACGAATGATTAAGAATGAAAATGTTGGGGCGCCTGGGTGGCTCAGTCGTTGAGCATCTGCCTTCAGCTCAGGTCATGATCCCAGGGTCCTGGGATCGAGCCCCACATCGGGCTCCCTGCTCACCAGGAAGCCTGCTTCTCCCTCTCCCACTCCCCCTGCTTGTGTTCCCTCTCTTGCTGTGTCTCTCTCTGTCAAATAAATAGATAAAATCTTTAAAAAAAAATGAAAATGTCCTTGTAATTTCCTAAATTAAGAATTCTTAAACATTTTTTTTTTTTAAGAATTATTGAATCAGAGGGGTGATGAGTTCTCTAACACTGGAGGATTTAATCAGTGGCCTGATCACTACCTAGTAGGGATTTTATGAATGTGAGTTAAAGAGTGAGGGCCACAGAGAGGGAGGAATTTCATTTCACCTAAATAGCTCTTTAGACCCTTCTAACAATTAGATCCTGCATTGATATTCTTTTAAAATGTGGAGGATAACAGATAAATCTTCCAGATGGTTTTTGGACAGCCCCGCAGGAAATATGCCACTGTTTTAACTGTCCAATTTTATTTGCCTCTTTTTCTACACTTGAGTAAATATTTGGAAGTGTTTCAGATTAAAAAAAAAAAAAAAAGGAATTAAGAAAAACATTCCATAATGCCACCTCCTAGAAATAACCATTTGATAGGTTTCCTTCTTACATAGCATAATTTCAATGAATATTTTCCCACTTCTTTTATAGTGAGCAAACCTTTCCTCCCAGTCTTTCCTTAGATTTTTATAATCTCTAAACTAAGTATTAATTTCAACTTAACATTACCATACTGTAAATCACAGGCAATAGTACTTTGCTTTTTAGAATAGATTAATCCCATCGTGTTTATTCACTCATTTCTTGAACATTTATTACTACATAAATGGTACATTGGCTATGCTTTTTTCAATATGTATGTTTTAATTCTAACTGGATATAAAATTTTAATTAGTTTTTGAAGAACTTATTTTTAAAAACTTTATTGCTTTTCAAATTTTCTTTATCAGGAGACAGTTGGTGGTTATTGTACTGTCTGTAGTAATTGGGTTGCAGATCTTTTCCCATCGAAGCATGAATACTTTCAACTTTACAACTTGCTCTAGAAGCCCAGTATGCCCTATCCCTGACCAGTAGCAAACTTAGCGTGAAGGAAGACACATATGATAGTGAGTCAGAACTGAACTAAGTATTTTTGCTATTTATGGTAGTATTTTTAGTGTACCCTAGTGACTTTTAAAGTGAAATAGTTTAATGGAGCAATATCCTACAACTCTATATTTTGTAGTCTATTTATGACCCTGCAGTATATCCAGGATCTAATGTTTAATCTTAAATGCATGATTAGTACAGCATAAGTATATTTGACAAACCTTTAAATTACCCCTAAAGAAATTTTTTTAAAGTGTATGTACTGTAAACAGGCAATCTTTTCCACACATCAGTGATGTTTAAAATGCACAATAACGGAAGGTAAATTTTATTGAATATTCAATTCTAAATCTTTGGGAAATTTCTAAATTTGGGCAGAAATCACCATACCTAGTTCCAAATACTTTACTCTTCCAAATGAAAAGATTAACATTTGTTGCATGGGATTTGATTTATCTTCTCATTGCTTCCGAAAATGTTTCAGCAAAATTAATGAGGCTGAACCATGGACTCTTCAAATATCAAAAGTGTAAAATCTAACATTAATTTTAATCTTGAATTTAATGAAAGCAAGGTAAGTAACCTTCCTTAGGTCAAAAAGTCTCTAGCAAAGCAGGGGTAATTATTGTACTCAAAATGGGGAAAATAATAATCAAAGTCCTCAACTCTTACACTATCTAGTTAAAAGTTGGTATGTGTTCATTTTCTTCTTAAATAATCAAAATCTTATGTATTCTTAATGACAAACTTCAAGGGATGTTAAAACATTGGATCCTTAATATTTACAATCTAAATCTTATGCTAGCAATTCAGATTTCACTGATTTTGAATTTATGAAAAATATAAATTGGTCTGGGTTTATTTTGGTAGTTAAAAGCAAATATTTATGACGTTTAGGCTACTTACCAAGCAATGTGATTGGTACTGTGTGTTAGGGGATATAATTCAAACATGATGAGTAACATAAGACCCATTCCCTCAGAGGAACTTACCATACCTCTGGAGATCCTGGCAGACATAAAAGAAAGTAATATGAGAGAAGAAAACAGAGGAGCCAGAGATAGAAGTGGTAGCTAAGTAAATTATCAGTGAGCCAGACATCGCAGAGGTAATGTGTATCTACTCAGAAATGAAACCAGATCTATGGATTTAAATCCATATACTACTAATTTTAAACCAGTTAGATTTATGGTCCTAACAATTTAATATGGTACCACTGACAAAATTTATTTTTCTGCCTTCAGTTCCAGTTAATAAACATCATTAAAAGTAGCAAAATAATTTTTAATTTGTGTATAATTTATAATTTGCACTATTGCAGATGCCCCCGCTCTGATTATCAAGGTGGTTAAAAATATCACTTTTTACTGTATATGCAAAGTTTAATGTTACTAATAGCACAATTTTTAACAATTGAATCTACTCTTCAGTGACCCAGTTAAAAATGACTTTTAGCATAGGATGCCCAATGTAGTAGTAATTTAAAAGGCACTTTATATATACAGGAGATTTCACACACATGGATTCATTTAAACCTCACAAATCCCAAATGTCAGGTACATTTTACAGATTATGCCTAACACTTAGAGATTAACTGATTTGATAATGACTCTTACAGGCAAAATTCAAAACTTTTTTTTTTTTTTTTACTGTGCAGGTTTATTTTTTTTTTTTTAAGATTATTATTTATTTGAGAGAGATAAAGGGAGGGCAAGAACATGAGGAAGGGCAGAGGGACAAGCAGACTCCCCGATGAGCAGGGAGCCCAACTCAGGGCTCCATCCCAGGACCCTTGGGGCTCAATTCCAGGACCCCAGAATCATGACCTGAGCTGAAGGCAGATGCTTATCCGGCTGAGCCACGCAGGCGCCCCTACTTTGCAACAGTTTCTACTCATTGTACAGGACAATGGGACAGAAAGTAAGAATTCAAAGCAGCTTTTATCACTAAGAATTTTATAATTAAGATCTGAAAAATATATAATTAGTACTTTGTATTGTCTAGAAATAAATAGGAACAGCATATTTGAGCAAGTAATGAATAAATTAGAAAATAGGATTAGAAGATGGTTAATATCAGTTATTAAATTCTTATTCTAGTATTTTCAAAACTTTTGCTCTTTATAGAGAATTTCTAGAATTTTTTTCCAGCCACTTGGTAAAGATAACCATTTTAATTTGAAAATTATCTTTACTTTTAAGATCCCTTTTATGATCCAGCAAGTGGCCAAATTCCTTTGCCTCCTGCTAGGAGATTACCAGGTGAAAATATCAAATCCAACAGATCATCACAGGACTATGATCAGCTTCCTTCATCTTCAGGTGAGTTGGCTAATAATAGTAATAATGCTTCCTTAATGTTCATATAGTGCTTTTTGCTTTTCAGAGCACATTTCTATTCATTATATAATTTAATGAGCACTGCCAGCCTAAAAAAAGTATTTTTATCACTTTACAATTTGCTTGTATTATGAGAGGAATGCCTACAAAACTGCCTCATGAAATAGAAAAAAGAATGATGCCTTCATATCATCTTTGTTCACTCGGTAAAGCACATATTCTGATTCAGAATCTATTCATTCTCTAACTTTTGTTTTGCCTTACCAGATATGAGAAGTGGGAAAAATCTCTTTGTACATCAAAGTGCTGCATTCTCTTATTTTTTGACTGAAGGAAGAAATCTCTTTAGAATTAATATTGGCACCAAACTATTAATTTTCAAAGTGCTGTGCCACAGTGCTCTGCTGGCAGCTAGTAAGTAGAATGGGAGAAGGATGTGCCATTTTAGTAAATACCAGTCATACTTCTGGCCATTAATAATGAAATGCTGCTGCTTTGCTTCTTCAGGAGGCCATCCCCGACCACCATATCTCAAATAGTTCCTAGACCTTATGCAGTCATTTTCTGTGCTCTTCTTGTGCTTTATTTTTCTTCCGTGCACCTGTCACTACCTGAAATGGCATTCATTGTTGGTTTGATTTGTTATTTGTCTTCCTTGCTAGAATATTAATGCTTTGAAGATAGGAGTCTTGTTTGCTTCACTGCTGTGTCCCCATATGTTCACAAGAGTGCCCAGCGCATGATTCTTGGATAGGTGGATAGCTGAGTAGGGGAGTGGATGGGTAGAAGGAGGGGAGAGTAGCTGATGTATGTGTTATGCTGAACACACAGTTTTCTTTGTTGAAGTACAGTTGACACAATGTTACCCTAGTTTCAGGTGTACAACATAGTGATTTGATGAGTCCATACCTTATGGTATGCTCACCCCAAGTGAACCTACCCTCTGTCACCATTCAGCGTCCTTACAATACCACTGACTGTATTCCCTATCCTGTACCTGTTATCCTTGTGACTTACTCATTCCATAACTGGACACCTGTATCTCCCACTCACCTTTACCAATTTTGCCTGTCCCCCCACACCCCTCCCCTCTGGCAACCATCAGTTTGTTCTCTATGGGTCTGTTACTGCTCTTAGTTATTTTGTTCACTTGTTTCATCTTTTAGATTCCTCATATAAGTGAAATCAGATATATTTGTCTTTTTCTGACTTACTTCACTTAGCATAATACTGTTCATGTCCATCCATGTTGTCACAAATGGCAATTTGCGTGTATACACACACACACACATCATCTTTACCCATTCATTGATCAATGGACACTTGTGTTGCTTCCGTATCTGGGCTATTGTAAATAATGCTGGTGCAAAAAACATAGGGGTGCATATATCTTTTCAAATTAGTGTTTTTGTTTTATTTGGGCAAATACCAGTAGTGGAATTACTGGATCATATGGTATTTCTATTTTTAATTTTTTAAGGAACCTCCAGACTGTTTTCCCCAATGGCTGCACCAATCTACATTCCCACCGATAGTGCTTGAGGGTTCCTTTTTGCACATCCTCGCCAACACTTGTTGTTTCTTCTCTGTTTGATTCTAGCCATTCTCACTGGTGCAAGGTGATATCTCATTGTGGTTTTGATTTGCACTTCCCTGGTAGTTAGTGATGTTGAACATTTTTTCATGTGTCTATTGGCCATCTGTATGTCATCTTTAGAAAAATGCATTCAGGTCCTCTACCTGTTGTTGATTATCTGGGGGGAGGGGTGTTGAGTTGTAGAAGTTCTTTATATATTTGGAATATTGACCTCTAATCAAATACATCATTTGCAAATAGCTTCTCCCGTTCAGTATGTTACCTTTTGGGGGGTTTATTGATGGTTTCCTTCACGGTGCAAAAGCTTTTTATTTCAATGTAGTCACAATCATTTATTTGAGAAGACCTATCTAGGAAAATGTTGCTAAAGCTGATGTCAGAGAAATTATTGCCTATGTTTTCTTCTAGGAATTTTATGGTTTCAGGTCTCACATTTAGGTCTTTAATCCATTTTAAGTTTCTTTTTGTGTATAGTGTAAGAAAGTGGTTGTTTCAAAAAAAAAAAAAATGGTTCAGTTTCATTCTCTTGCATATAGCTGTCTGTTTTTCCCAACATCATTTGTTAAAGAGACTGCCTTTTTCACATTGTATTTCTTGCCTTTGTTGTACATTAATTGACCATATAATCACAAGTTTATTTCTGGGCTCTCAGTTCTGTTCCATTGACCTATGTGTCTGTTTTTGTGCCAGTACCATAGTGTTTTGATTACTACAGCTTTGTAGTATATCTTTAATCTAAGATTGCAATAACTCCAGTTATGTTTTTCTTTTTCAAGATTGCTTTGGCTATTTGTGGTCTTTTGTAGTTCTATACACATTTTAGTACTATCTGTTCTAGTTCTGTGAAAAATGCTTTGTGTCTTTTGATAGAGATTGCATTGAATCTGTAGATTGCTTTTGGTAGTATGACATTTTAATTCTACCACTCCATGAGCATGAAATATTTTTCCATTTGGTTGTGTAATCTTCAGTTTCTTTCACCAGTGTCTTATAGTTTTCAAAGTACAGATCTTTCACTTCCTTGGTTAGGTTTATTCCTAGATATTTTGTTCTTTTTGGTGCAATTATAAATGAGATTTTCTTAATTTCTCTCTCTGCTACTTCATTATTAGTATATAGAAATGAAATTGATTTCTGTGGATTAATTTTGTATTCTGCGATTGTACTGAATTCATTTATTTTGGCAGGTTTTTTTTGTGGAATCCTTAGGGTTTTCTGTATATGGTATCATGTCATCTGCAAATAGTGACAGTTTTACTTCTTCCTTAACAGTTTGGATGCCTTTTCTTTTTTTTTCTCTGATTGCTGTGGCTAAGACTTCAGTACTATGTTGAATAAAAGTGGCAAGGGTTGACATCTTGTCTTCCTCCTGGTATTAGGGGAAAAGCTCAGGTTTTCACCATTATGTATGATGTTAGCTGTGTATTTTTCACATATGCCCTTTATTATGTTGAGATATGTTCCCTCTAACCCCATTTTGTTGAGAGTTTTTATCCTGAGTAGATGTTGAATCTTGTCCAATGCTTTTTCTGTATCTATTAAGATTTTTATCCTGTTCTGTTGTTGTGGTATTTCATGTTGATTGATTTGCAAATATTAAAACATCCCTGCATCTCTAGGATAAATCCACTTGATCATGGTGAATTATCCTTTTAATGTATTTTTGAATGTGATTTACTAATATTTTGAAGATTTTGGCATCTATGTTCATCAAGGATAATGACCTGTGGTGTCATTTCTTGTGGTGTCTTTGTCTTGGTGGTTTTGCTATTAGGGTAATGCTGGTCTTACAGAATGTATTTGGAAGCTTCTATTATTTTATTATTTTATTTTATTTTATATTATTTTATATTTTATATTTTATTTTATTTTATATTTTATTTTATTTTATTTTATTGGAATAGTTTGAGGAGAATAGGTATTAACTCTTTAAATATTTGGTAGAACTCACCTGTGAATCCATCTGGTCCTGGACTACTGTTGGGAGGTTTTTGATTATCAGTTCAATTTCATTACTAGTAATTGATCTGTTCAGATTTTCTATTTCATCCTGATTTAGTTTCAGAAGATCTGATGTTTCTAGAAATTTATCCATTTCTTCTAGCTTGTCTACTTTGTCAGCATATAATTTTTTTGTAGTAGTTTCTTATAATTCTTTGTATTCTGTGGCTTCAGTTGTTACTATTTTGTTTCTGATTTTTTGTTTTTATTTCTTAATGATCCAGCTAAAGGTTTATCAATTTTGTCTGTTTTTTCAAAGAACCAGCTCTTGGTTTCATTGATCTTTTGCAATGATTTTTTTTTTTTTAAGTCTCTAATTCATTTATTTATGCTCTGGTCTTTTTTTTCCCTACTTCTACTAACTTGGGTTCTGTTTGTTCTTCTTTTTCTAGTTCCTTTAGGTATAAGTTTAGGTTGTTTACTTGAGATTTCTGTTGTTTCTTGAGATAGGTCTGTATCACTATAAATTTCCCTTTAGAACTAACTTCTTTCTCTATATAAAATCCCAAAGATTTTAGACCATTGTGTTTTCACTTTCATGTTTCCATGTACTATTTCCTCATTTTGTTGACCCATTGGTTGTTTAGTATCTTGTTGTTTAGCCTCCATGTATTTGTGCTTTTTCAAGTTTTTTTTTCTTGTGATTGATTTCTAGTTTCATAACATGTGGTTGGAAAAGATGTAGGATATGATTTCATTCTTGCATTCACTACTGTGAATCTCCTCTAGTGTATTTTTCATTTCAGCTATTGTACAATTCAGCTCTGGTTGGTTCTTTTTTATATTTTTTATCTCTTCATTGAAGTTCTAAGTTCTTCCACTCTTCTCTGCAAACCAGTGATCATTTTTTGATCATGACTTTAAATTCTTAAGCAATATGCCTGATAATCTACAGTTCATTTAGGTCTTTCTCTCAGGTTTTGTCTTGTTCTGTCATTTGGAGCATGTTCCTCTGTCTTGTCATTTGACTTTTGTGTCTATGAATTAGGTAGAACCCCAACTTCTCCTAAGCTTGAAGGAACACTCTTGTGTATAGTCCTCCCTTGTACAAACTGTGTGCCTGTGGATTTGGCTGGCCGCGGGAGGTCCCTAAGCTGAAGTGTGCATGGGCTGGGGTGATCCCAGGGCTCTCCAAGCAGAGAATGCCCTGGCAGCTGAAGCTGAAGTGGGTACAAGCCAGGATGTCACGGGGTGCTCAGTGCAAGAGGTGCCCTGGAGGGCTGACTGGAGCTGAGGCCAACACAGGCTGTAGGGGCCCAGGACACTCCATGCAGTGGGTGCCCTGGCAGGGCAGCTGAAACCGAGATGGGCATGGACTGGGGATTCCTAGGGTGCTGCATATTGGGGGGTACCCTGGCAAACCATCTGAAGCCAAAGTGTTACG